GGGGGGGGGGGGGAGTTCATTCTGGAATAAGTGAAGTTTGACGAGCCTACCATCACAGGAGAGGATACTAGTTATTCTCAGTCATTCTCAGTCTTGCTCGAGACGCCGTGGTAGAAGGTTGTGTAGCGCGTCAACAGTGTATCGCGCATATTCCGACAGATTAATTCCTCAAGTAGCCGTAGCTTTTTGATACGGCGCTGTTTTCTGTCCTTGCTGCTTGTGTTTTATGACTACATTGCTGAACACAATTCCAGTGCCTTCTACAATAATTTCATCACAATGAAGCCGAAGTTGAAACTGTTTTTGTGAACCTGAGTGTATCGCCTAATTAATATAGGAGGTTCGTGAAGTAATGGATGTGCTCACTGCACAAAGACTCATATCGAAACGGACTGTACCAACAGTACAGTTTATTCAACGTTCACTGTATCCATATATGTTGCGTAGCATGCTACAGTAAGTTTCACCCATCAAATCTATAATGTTTTCGTACTGTCTATACATATTGCTCTTTAATTTTCCCTGTATCATACTGTACCATATATATATCGATTTGTAGTATTCTTGTACTGGCTATACTGTTGTCTACTACTTTGTGTGAGAAAGTTCCTCCTATTCCTGCTACCCCTAATCCAAGAAAACTCCATGTTTTCGCGAATGTACGTACACTCCTGAATACTCTTGCGACCAAAGAATTCTCTTTATGTATGTCTTCGATATTTTTTTAGTACATTTTACACCTCGTACTGTAATTTCAATTCTTTAGTCTAGCGAAGTATTCAATATATTGAATAAAAATACTGTATATTATTGTTTACTTAGTAATTCATCTATTTGTCAGATGAATTATTGTGATAGTTCAGTGCCTTAATGTTAAAACGAGTACCATTAATATCATTACTATTCTTTTGGAAATTGATATTACGCTATAATTCCTGTCTGTAGTTGTACTCATTAGGGCTTTTTTGTATGTAATTGTCAATGTTCTTCAAGTTGTACAAATTTTCATAGTGATTTTCTTTGGAACTGGTTGGAACGATTATGTTACACTAAATTGATGTGGTTTATTTTTATTTGTATTTGTATATGTTTGATGAATGTACTGCACAATGTAGATTTAGCAGTATTCTTTTTTATGGCATTTGTAGCATGACGGCTGTCCTACAAATGGCCATGAACGTCACCACAAGAGGAAATGGAATGGAACGATAAAGTTCAAAAGGAGTAGCTGAGGTTCTGCAGGAATGTTGGTTAAAACTAAGGGAACATGTTTTAAGTGCAGATAACTCCTAGGGTTTTCCTTTTATGGAAATGTTTAGATATAGCTCTATAATTTTCTTATTTTCTTTCAAATGTGTGAGAGCAGTGATTTAAGGGACAATAATTAACATTACTCTGATTCTCTTAATGGTTTTGGTGATTTTTGTCAAAAATGTATTGTTGAAAATAATTTCTAAAAAAGATTTTATAATCTGACAATTAGTTTATTTTCATTTTTGCATAAAAATATTACACATTTTAGAATATACAATGTAAAGCCTTATTTAACTTGTGATGCTTGTCTTTATATGTGACCACAAGAAGCAGACAACTTATATTTTCATTGTGGTAAAAAAATTATTTCCTTCGATTATATACAATATTGCGTACCTTAATATGGTCATTTACAACACTTTGGTAATTAAATTATTACTACAAGTAAATTAATACTTACTGCTTTTATATTTTAGAAAATTGCTCTGTGATCAAGAAACTACTATGGCTGGAATAAGTAGACGAACTTATCTCAGGGATGTGAATCCTTATCTGATGTGTCCTCTTTGTCGAGGATACCTTATTGATGCCACTACAGTAGTAGAGTGTTTACATTCTTGTAAGTATACTGGATAAAATTCTAAAGTATTAAAAATCAAAATTTATTATGCACTAATAAAATGTGATATTTTCATAAAATATAAGCTTTTAACATTTTTATAGTCTGTAGGAGTTGTATTCTGAAGCACCTTAGATCAGAAGCTCACTGCCCTTCCTGCAGACATGTGCTTAACAAAGCTAAGCCTAATATGAAGTAAGTTAATATATATGTTATAATGAATACTCTGAATATTCTAAAACAATTATAAATATGGAACAACTGTTTAATGAAAACATTGAAGTTTGAAAGTTAGTGATTGTAAAAATTATGGTATTATTTTAATACAATATAATAAGAAAGTATGTAAAGACGTTAGTCATTTGAGTTGTGATTAACTAAATGATTATTCTCTTTAAAGAGCAGATAAAGCACTGCAGGACATTGTGTATAAGTTGGTGCCAGGATTATATCATCGAGAAATGCGACGTCGGCGTGACTTTTACAAGAAGCATCCTGAGCATGGTAAGATGTTATCTATGAAATTTGTATATTCAACATGCATTTTCAATTGTACTTGCGAAATTAACCGTGGCAAAAGCGACAATGAAGAATTAGGCAGTAATGACATAACTTTTGCGCATATGTAGCCATGTACAAACGCACGACTATAAATGAAACGGTTTTCAATGAATTGCAGGGCGTGCCGATAGCCTACACCATCTTCAAGGTGGTAAGCTCGACGAAAAAAAAAAAAAAAAAAAAAAAAAA